AAAAGCCCAGGAGCAAGAGAATGAACATTGAGTAACATGTTAATAATTTAAGGCAAAGGTGACTCCACGTCATTCAGGTTTGTCTGTGGGTCTTGGGATAGAGTAATAAGGTGTTTATTGAGCAATAGTACTCAATGTTAGAACATGATGTTCTGAGCAGATTACTTCCCATTTTCCAATGTTTGCCAAGAGCAACATACCTTTAAAAATGCTATCATGCTACTTTTTTTTTTTTACTACTTTCTACAAAGACTTTGAAAAATGTGCAGATGTATATCATGTACTTTTGGGGCCATTAATTTGTTACACAACAGAAAACCAACAACTTTACCTCTCCAATGGATTCGATTTCTCTGGACATAAACATGGTCTGCTTCTTTTTTAAGTATTTTTTAAAAGGCAAATAATAGGCAAATAACTAGATCCACGCTCTGCATGAGGACATCCAGCATCAGATTTTTCCCCATAGGAAAACATTTATTCAATGCTTTCCTTTGCGGAGGTCTAATGCGTTGTATTTGCTGCGCATGTGTATTAGCGCCTGCTCATCGCGGGACGCAGGCAGAGCTGTGACCCAGCGATGAGGGACATCGACACTAGGATAAGGTAAGTAAATAACCTTTATTTACTGACTTGGGGGGATGCGAGTAATGGGGGTGGTAGAAAGAACTATAATACCAGGAATACAGCTTTGTATGCCTGGCACTTATAGTTTCCCTTTAATTAAAGGAAACGTCTAATTAAACCTCTTTAATTAATTAGTTTTTTTACTCATTTAGATTTATGCTTTGCACGCAGACTGTGGACATCAAATAGATTCAGTTGTTGAAACTATGTTATTCTGAATGACAGACTCTAGTACTGGAAAAATGTCATAGAAAGTAAGATATAGAAGGACTATATGCACTATATGCAAACATGAAAATGTTGCACATAAAGTTAAATAAATCTATAAAAAGTGGAGTGCTAAAATGGGGTATCTTACCCTTTAATAACAGTGATACACCGGCAGGAGAGCAGCATATGCAAAAACAAAACAGACAAAATATAGTTAAAATGGTACAATATCAACAAGTGACGTATAGATCAAAAAAGGACAGTAACAGTGCAGATACCGTAAACATTCCAATATAAACAAACAATCTGGACGTGCTCATCCTGATAAGAGCCAAATAGGTTCTGGCTCTTGACATGTAAGCTTGGTGTCACTTAAAGTTAAAGTCGTAGTGGGCAGGCTATGTGAGGTATTAGGGACATTGTGTGGGTCTTGTAGTGTAATGACTTGGCTCAGTATGGATGCATAGTTAAACATGGTTGTCAGGTCTGTCCAAACCTCCTTCTAGTTGCCTTCTCCAAGTGATATCTTTGGATACTCTCATCTGGCAGACTAGGAGAGCCCAGGGCAGCCGAGGGGAGCCAAGAGGAGCCAAGGAGAGCCGTTATTAAGGCTAATCATCCTAGGGTTTGATTAGTATCTCTCGGAAATGAAGGGAGCATGGATCTAAAATCATGTCAAATATGATCAGGCCCGGACTGGCCATCGGGCACACCGGGCAAATGCCCGGTGGGCCGCGGTGGCCGTGGGGCCGAGGCCGGCAGGGAGATCACAGGATCTCCCCTGCCGGTCTTTGCAGGGCCGGCGCTATCTGAACGCCGGCCCTGCAGTAGTCTACAGCGGGCCTGTGGGGAGATCAGAGATCTCCCTCACCAGCCCACATAGAGAATACTGCAGCCGCCGGGGGAGAGAGGGAGGGAGCCAGCCTGCCAGCAGAGGAACCCCGGCGGAGCTTTAACTTACAGCTCCGCCAGGTTCCTCTCGCGAGATTCGGAGCGTTGCCATGGCAACGCTCCGGGTCTCGCGAGAGTAAACTCTAGCCCAACAGGCTAGAGTTCACTCACCACTTGGACCACCAGGGATGGATGGTGGCAGCAGCAGCAGCAGGATCCCACGTCCCAGGCATAAGGTAAGCAGGGAGGGGGGATATAATCAGGGCACAGCAGGGCACATAACACTCCCAGCACCCTCACACACACACACACACACACACACACACTGCACCCCTGACACTCACACACACACTGCACCCCTGACACTCACACACACACTGCACCCCTGACACTCACAGCACACACACTGCACCCTTGACACTCATAGCACCCTCACACACACTGCACCCCTGACACTCACAGCACCCTCACTCACACACTACACGTCTGACACTCACAGCACACACAAAATGCACCCCTAACACTCACAGCACCCTCACACACACACATTGCACCCTTGACACACACAGCACACACACTGCACCCCTGACACGCACAGCACACACACTGCACCCCTGACACTCACAGCACCCTCACACACACACTGCACCCCTGACACTCACAGCTTCCTCACATACATACACTGCACCCTCACACACAGCTTCCTCACATGCACATAGCACCCTCATGCAAACACAGCACCCACTCACACACAGCACACACACACTGCACCCATCACACACACAGCACCCTTACCCACATAGCACCCTCACGCAAACGCAGCACCCATCACTCACACACACACTGCACCCCTCTCTCACACACACTACACCCCTTACACACACACACACACACACACACACAGAGCACCCTCACACACACTGTGCAATATGCTTTCCTGGCATTTTTGTCTTCTGGTATCCCAACTATGGAGACACCAGAGACAAATTTCAAGCAAACACAGTGCAAGCATGTTATTAAATTTGCTTGCGCTGTGCAGAACAAATACAGGGTATTTTTCTCATGCCAGAGCTCTTCAGCAGAGCTCTGCGCATGGTCTACCCTGGAAGAGCATTGAACCAACATGCTCACTTTGTGATGGGGCGTGCTTGTCATTGGTGATGACAAAACACACCCTATCTGGCCCCGCCCCCTTTTTAGTGGGCCGCTGTAATTAAAAATTGCCCGGGCCGAATTTTCTTCCCAGTCCGGCCCTGAATATGATCAATGTAAATATTGACATTTTGTGTCAGATTGTCTCTCCCGGAGACAACTGGATGATCCATTAGTATACTTTGTTGTTTATGAATTCTAAGCATAGAACTTTTTTTTACTATATAAGGGTTAGCTGTATACATGAAATCATATTTGTTATAAGTTGTGATTTCTCCCATTTTCTATAATGCCTTTTCTTTCAATTCTCTGAGTTATGTATGAATAGGCTCAATGGGAAAGATTTTATATGTATCTCGGTCTTGTAAGCTTCTGTCTGTCATATTCAAATATTGATTTTTATCAAGAACTACTACATGCCCATTTGTTGGAGGGTTTAATGATACTAGTCTGATTGCTGCTTAGTTCTTTTAAGGCTTTGATCTCATTGCAAGTAAGGTTCTCAATAGGTTTAATCATAAGGTCTCTTTCATCCACCTTAGATATACCCTGGCATGTCATCTCCTCAAACATATGAATATGTATGAATTCTGCAAATGATTTCAATGAAGGACATGTGTAATTTAACTTGATTTTCTTTCGATTCAAGTAGATCAACTAGAGTCCGGAGCAGTGTGAAATCTTTAGTTTCCAAACCAAAATATTTTGCTCTCTTTTCAATTTTGATTTAATAAAAAATGTGTTATACTGGAGATTGATTTATATGTTACCTGCTGGGAATTACCACTTCAGGTGTCTTTCATTGTCAATTTCTTTATTCAATGGTAAGACCCCACCATGAATATATGCTGCAATTTTGGGCAAGATATTTGCAGAACTTGAAAAAGTGCGCAGGCAAACAAATTAGTAAAGGGGATGGAAAACATTAGTTTTGAGAAAAGACTATAAAAACAGAAGTTGTTTTCTTTAGAAAAAAGGTGCCTCAGAAGGCATATGAGAGCATTATACAATTATATACAGGGTGAGTACAAACCGCTATGTACTAACCTTTTCTTCTTTAGGAATATACAACAGACAAGAGGTCACCTATTGAGACTGGAAGAAAGGCATTTTCACATACAGCAGAGAAAAGGATTCCTTCCAGCAAGGACACTAAGATAAGGAATTCTCTGCCTGAAGAGGTTGTGTTATCAGATTCTATAGATATTTTTTTTTTAAAATACTTGGATACTTTTTTGCATATACGGATTATTCAAGGATATAACTGATATGTGTGTAAACTGTTTGCAGATCCAGGGAGAAATCTGATTGCCATTATGGTGTCAAGAAGGTTTTTTTTTTCATTTTGTGGCATAATTGGAAATTGCTACAATTGGGGTTATTTCCTTTCTTTAGATCAGCAGCATAAAAGAATGGGCTTCAAGGTTGAATTAAATGGACTTTAGTCGTTTCCATCTTGACAACTATGTAATACTTGTGTTAATTCTGATATTTAGTTTTTTTTTTCTTTTTAATACATTTGCAGCACGTTCTATAGCGTTGCTATTGCTTTGTCATTGTGGGATATTGTGTTTACATTGACGTGAAAAAAAAGTAATTTGAACAATTGTACCATAAAGCTGCAACATACAATATATTTTAAAAAAATTGGAGGGGTCTGAAAACTTTCTGAATGCACTGTATGTTCTGAATCATTGTGAAGATTCATTAATATACTCCAAGTTTAAAAACAATGTACTTTGATCAATGTTTTCCAAAATCAAATCTGCCACCCTCTCTCATGCCATAAATCTAATCCATTTATTATCACTTTAATTAAATGATTTGTTTGAGTACAATAGAGCTGCAATCTATCACTGTCTTGTTTGGTTTTACTGTATATTGTGATAATTAATCATAGTGTATATTAAAACATACACTAAGGGTGTCTATTCATTTACAGTAACTACTGGGAAGTGGCGTGTGTTATTTAAACTAGAATAGGGAAGCTGCAATAGTCATGTCAGTACTGGAATCTCTGTATGTTTTGCAAGGCATTGATAATATACATGTAAAATATTGCAAAATGACCGTATTTTAAACAGGAATTCATTACAGGAATTCATTGGGCAGACTAGATGGGCCGAATGGTTCTTATCTGCCGTCACATTCTATGTTTCTATGTTTCTATTACATTTTCTTTCCTTGAGAATTTTAGATTTTCAAAATATTCAAATATTTAATTTTTGCATTACATTTTATTTGATTTTAGAGGTTAAAAAACATAGACATAGAATGTGACGGCAGATAAGAACCATTCGGCCATCTGGTCTGCCCAATTTTCTAAATACTTTCATTAGGTTGTTTTCAAAGGGATGATTTTTTTCTGAAACATAACCTATTTTCAAAATTCACAAAATAAAACAAAAAATAAATTATTCAAAAGGGAAATTAGGACCAATTCACACTTAACACTAATGTCACCAGGGACTTTATCCCCAGTGACATTAGTGTTAAGGTGTACCTGTCATGATGACAATAACTTGATTTCAAATAACATTACATTTCATTTATATATTGAGCTTAGCAAATACATGGATTTTAAGCTATTTAAGTCACACTTGCTTACGCTTGCTGGGGGATTATACGACACACTGACACCAATGTGCTTGTATTGAAACCAGCGTCTGTGCGTCAGCATGATGGGAGACCCTACTTGGGGAAATGTGCCCAAACAGGGCCAATCACAACAGTTTGTAACTGTAATGGAGGTTGGGTGTTGCAGCACTGTAACAATCATGGGCCTTTCAAGAATGGAGGTGCTGGAACGTGGCTGCGAGTAGCGATATAACAGCTCCCAAAGGAACACAATATATAATTTATCTTTATGATATATTATTTATATAGTGCTTTTAGAGCTGGTATAGCTTTAGGTGAATCTGAAATGCCAGGTTCACTTTAAATTGTTACAACCGCTAGAAGCTTGTGGGTCTACATTAGGATGGTTAGCAGTAGTAATGAGCGCCATGTGTGAGGGTTTGGTTGGGAAAGGGTTCTGATAACAGCAGCAAACTCAAAGTCGAAACTCAATATGCAAAGACTCCGCAATACACAATGAGAATATATAACTTGCAAGAACACAAATAAAAAACAAAAAAAACAGGGAAACAATACAAGGAAATTGCAGGCCTCTGGGACTTCTATAAAAAGGCAGTGGGTCTTTGGGGAATCAGGCAGTAGAACTTCATGGACTCAGGCATTCTGTATAACAAAGTAGTTTTGGTGTATAGATCATGCCTCTGCAATGTCATTGCTCCATTCTCTGACATGTACAAGTTAAATCACTTTGTGTGTCTGTTTGTATAGCCCTAGTCACACCTCCCCTCGCTGTGACTGACACAGCCAACATGAAAGAAATTGTTTATTTTCCAATCATATTTTACAACACAGTGTTTATATAACTGTAATCAGACATATGAGGTTCCTGCAGTCTCCTGCATGCAATTAAATCAGATAAGTAATTCTAAATTAACTGCTTAACCCTGTTTGGGCATTCTATGCCCCTCTACATAAAGTGGGCATAAGGGTGTGGGTTGGTTTAGGGTTAGCATTAACTAAAAATATATTTAGATCCTAAACATTATTATTATTATTATGATATTTATAGAGCACCGTCAAATTCCGCAGTGCTTTACAATGGGTGGACGAACAGACATGTAGTTGTAACCCAGACAAGTTGGACACACAGGAACAGAGGTGTTGAGGGCCCTGCTCAATGAGCTTACATGCTAGAGGGAGTGGGGTAAAATGACACAAAAAGGAATGGATAGTATTAGACTAGTGACAGTTGCAGAAGAGGAATCAGTCAGGAGCTATTAACAGTTTAATTAATATGCTTTTATGAAGGAGTGGGTTTTTAACGATTTTTTTGAAGGAGTGGAGACTGGGTGAGCATCTAATGGAGGAGGGAAGCGAGTTCCACAGGAACGGTGCAGCCCTCGAGAAATCTTGAAGGTGAGCATCAGAGGTGGGAGTACGGACAGAAGATAGACGTAAGACTTCAGCAGATCGTAAGGGCATAGACGATCTGTGTATAAGCGAGACTTGTGTATAAGAGAGGATAGATAGGTGGGAGCAGCATTATGTAGAGATTTGAAAGCAAGAACCAGAATTTTAAATTAAGCTCTATATTTTATAGGATGCCAGTGTAGGGACTGACAGAAGGGTGAGGCATGGGAGGTGCGGGTGGACAGGAAGATGAGCCTCGCCACCGCATTCATTATGGACTGTAACGGCGCAAGTTGGGAGCACGTAAGACCACTGAGAAGCGGATTACAGTAGTCAAGGTGAGAAAGGACAGTGGAATGGACCAACACCTTAGTTGCATCTGGCGTTAAGTAGGGGCGGATGCGCGCAATGCTTTTGAGATGGAAATGACAGGATTTGGCGATAGACTGAACATGAGGCTTGAAGGAGAGGTCGGAGTCAAAGAGAACACCTAGGCAGCGAGCCTGCGTGGTGGAGCTGATGGTAGCACCGTTGACTTGGAGGGAGACAGACACAGGAGTAACAACACTTGAGGGAGGAAAGACCAGAATTTCAGTTTTGGTCAAGTTTAGTTTAAGGAAGTTGGCAGCCATCCAGTTAGAAATAGCAGAGAGGCAGTCAGATACACTAGTCAAGAGGGACGGGGACATATTTAGTATTTAACAGTGAGGACTGATATATGAATCTATTTTGAGTTCTTTTTAATTAGTTGTTCTGGATGTATAAAAAGTCTTATAAGCAAAAATGTGAAAAAAATAGTTTTGTTACTTATAGTCCCATTTTTAAGATTTTTTTTTTTTCAGATGTAAATTTGTGTTAGGTATATATACAGGATGTTAAATGAAAACAAACCATTTCTGTCCTTATATATAATATGTATTGGGGCACTTGAAGAGAAACCTTTTGATTATGGTAAAAATCAAATAGTTTTAGTTCAGAACATGGACAATTGCCTCCATCCTTAACAGGTTAAGCACCCAGTACAAGAATATCAGATTAAACTAGATTAGATGATTTACAGAAAGTTTCTAGGATAGACATGTGAGATGTGACTATAAACAAAGCTATTTAACTCCTAAATGGCAGAGAATTGAGCAATGGGACTACAGGGACATGATATATAAACCAAAACCACTTCACTAAACTCAATTTATTTTGGTCTTAGAGTGTCCCTATAAATGATCTATACATGTTGTTAAGGAGATATTATTTTTGTATGAAAAATATATTATTTTACTATTTTCCAGCTTTACCGGTGTCTAAGTAATTGCTGTTTTATGTTTGCTGTCAATGGACTTCTAGGGCAGGGATTGACATATTAATAATAAGCTAAACAGTAAAATTGATATTTAAACAATATAGTAAAAAAATATACATATAACATACATATAACACTAAGAGTGTGGTATTATATGAAGTAAGAGTGTATTTGATTCAGTACCATGGACAGAGGAATGTTCTAATGCTAACACAACTGCATGCGGGAAATCTATACCTTCTTGGAACAAAATAACTCTCAGATATGAACCTATGGAGTCTAGGCAATACACTGTGCAAAATATTTTTATTGATCCCCTCTACCTGGTGTAAGAGATCTGACTGTCTGGTGGCACGCATCTCTCTAAACTAAAACTAAGTTAGACAATTTGTTTATCAAATCAACTATTATGGCCTTAAATTTCTATTGCATTTTTAATTTAGCATATTTCATTATTGCGTAAATAAATGTAAAGTGGTTTTGCCCTTTCTCTGAAATTAATGTGAATGGTGATAATGCAGGCCAATGATTTGCAATCAATATGTTGCTCTTTATTTATAAAGAACCGATGCACTTGCTGCGAATGTTTTTTTTTAAAATCTATTTTGCGCCTTCTTTTTTTTTGTAACATAGATTTAGCTAAATAGCATAAATCAATCAACGAAAAAGTTTTCAAGCATCAAATTTTTATTCTTGACATATAAAAGGTGCGCTAAACAGCCTGTTCATAAACACTGAAATAACTGTATCCAACTGTGAATAATTTCATATAGGAGCAAATTAACAGAATGCCAACGACGGTAACTAAAGACAAGATTGATGTGTGTGAATATCAAAAAAACAAGTTAACAAAGTGCTGAGATAAAATTCTGCCAAAACGCAGAAAGGAAAGTAACAAAACATGTAATTTCATTATGTTATGTCTAAGAAAGCTTATATATCATCAGCTACAATTGTGGATGACACAGTTTCAAGTAGTAATACACACTGGGATTTATTCACTAAATACTGAAATGTGGTGAATTGAAAACTAATAAACAAGACTAAAATATCCAAGTCATGGCTATAGAGGAGGAGAATTTTTCCAAATTAAAGGGACGCTATAGTCAACAAAACAACTTTAACTTAATGAGGCAGTTTTGGTGTATAGATCATGCCCCTGCAGTCACACTGCTCCATTCCCTGCCATTTAGGAGTTAAATCACCTTTGTTTCAGTTTATGTAGCCCTAACCACACCTCTCCTGGCTGTGACTAACATAGCCTTCATGAAAAATAAAATGGTTTTGTTTTCAATCAGATGCTAACTTGCTTTAGACATTTTTATTTTCTGCTATGTAAATTGAACTTTAATCACACACAGGAGAGTCCTGCAAGGTCTCGCAAGCTATTAATAGAGCAGGAATTAAGACTTTCTACATTAATCAAACTGTGTAATGTGCAATGCAGGAAGTTTAAACGGTATCTAACTTTACAGGCAGTGTTTAGGAAGGCTGTATAAGTCACATGCAGAACCCTAGTGACATACCAGTTTACCAGTGTACCAGTGTAATTTTAGAACACTTAATTTTTACCTTGGCCCCCTGTGTACCAGTGCCATAACTAGTCTTCACCAGTTGGAGAACTGAATGCGTATATGCGGCTAAGTATGTTTGATAGGGGACAACACCCATTGGCTGAGAGCACCTAGCTTGATGCTCTCAGCCAATAAGCTTGGCCCTGATGTTCATACTATTCAGATAATTTGCCATAATGAAAAAAGGAGAGGTCTTGAACACACTTGTGAAATTAGTCACTAAAATGGGTATTGTTAGGAGTTGCAGATTTTAGATCAATTAGATGAGCTGGAAAAATAGATAAGGAGAATAAAAATTCCAAGTTTAGTGAATAAATGTTAAAAAAAAACAAAAAAACACATACATTGTTATGCACTGATGTGAGAATTCAAAGTCAATTTCAAATATAAACCCATACTGGAAGCATGGCTGGCTTGGAGAATTTGTCCAGTTAAGCAATCTCGG